AAATTCAAATATTGCAGAGCCTATGCACAGAATCACTATGTTCAGAGTGTGGTTAAGCCTGCCTTACTGCAGGTGGGTTGTTCCCCACCTAGGTCTACCGAGAATCAAGGGAAAATGAAGTACAACCAAGAAAAGTCTGCTATGGCTGATTTACATAGCCTTTTCCTTGGAGGTTCCTCTGTAAATGAGATTCCAAATTACAAGATTATATGAAAGTAATTAATGCCTTTCATTCAAGAATATTGTATCAGGATGTGCAGTTGGTAATAGATCTGAAAATATTGGAAGGCGTCTTGCAAGTCAACAAGGTTTGGAAAACAGAACCGAATGCGCAAAAAAAGATGTACTCTTCAGCCCACGTGTCAGTGAAAAATTCCCTAAGAAAGGTGAGCATCTAACAGAATGCATTAGGTGGGGGAAACTTTCTTTTTTCTAAAGCAAAAGTAACTTTATGAATGAAAGTTAGTGACCTCCGGGGAAAAATAATCAGTTTAGGACAAACTTGTGTTTCTAGTGTATTTTAGTAGTCCTCTTGTTAAGTGAGATGAGATGTGATTTCAGTTCTTAATATTACAATCTTTTTTCATATCTCTGAAACTTAAAGGAGCAATAGCATCTTTTAATTCATTGCTGCTTTGATAATTAAGGTTTTTAGCAAGAATTTTGCCTATAATCATTATGATCATGAAACAGCATTCTTAAACACTATGATATTTATTTTAAGGTTCAAAGAATGTGAGCAAGTCAGAAGAAAACTTGCTAACTCCAAAATGTCACAATAAAGTAGTTAATCGAATGTCATGGAATAGTACTACTGTTGCAGATTCTCAGGTGATCAGCAGGAATGAGGAGATTCTTCCAGGACACCCTAAAATGGGAATCAGTTCTTCAGAATCCATTTTGGTATTTGGAAAGCCACCATTAATTCCAGATGAATTCAACTCCACAGCTGCAAGCAAACAAGACAACAGCTTGCAACTTAGTGAAGAGGAAAGTAATTTGACTGCAGAAACACTGCTGAAAGTTAAGCAAGCTTTCTCTGCATCTGGAAGTAATCTTCACAATTTGAGGGGTGATACAAAGTCTTCCTTCTCAGATGCAGCAGATGAAACATTAAAGGAAACCTTGTGTGTCAGTGGGATCAGTCCAAAGAAAGAATTGTTAGCTGAAGAAGTTTCTGAACATCTAGCGAATACAAAATCCAGAGAGATGTCACACCAATTTAATCAATCTTATGCTGTTGATAAACAGCAATCAAAAAAAGATGAAATTAAACTATTGGGGAAAAGAAACTTCACAACTTCTGTTGAGATTGAACTTCAAGTCCTGAAGCCAGTTATAAAAAATGTAACAGAACTTCCTGTTCTGCAAGTACTGGCCAGGGAAGACAAGTTGGCTCTTCAGAACAGTTCATCAAAAGATGACTTAAATAATTTAGATTCCTTTGGAAGAAAAGAGGAAACAGAATTAATGCACTCACAAACAGCTGAAAACTGTGTGGTAAAATGCTGTAATGTGGAAGAAGGTACTGCTAAATTTCCTGTGGCTGGACAGCTTCCTACTTCAGAGTTGCCTAAATCGCAAACTGAAATAGGCAACCAATACTTGCAAGCTGAAAATTCTGATAAAACTTTAACTAAGCCATCAACTGTTTCTGACCATGGAAAGGTTTCTGACCACATACAATGGTTCAACAAACTTTCATTAAATAATCCGCGTTCTGCAAGCAAAACTAAACCACCTCTTAAGTTTCAACGTACTCCTGTTAGACAGTCTGTAAGAAGAATTAATTCCTTATTGGAGGCTAACAGACGATCTGTAGGCTCTCAGCTGCTTAAAGCGAGTGAGGTTGGTTCACCGCTTGTTAAGTCTTTGAGCTATGATTCTGCACTATTGTCCTGCACAGAAAAGCCCTCAGAAAATTCTGTGGCGTTGCCACTCAGGAGTGAAAGTACACATGACCAAGTTTGTGTATCTCGTAAGCAGCTAGACTTAACATCCAAATCATGTGGCAGGCTGTTAAATCCATCAGACAAGCCTGATGTTTCTGTCAGAACTGCTGGAATCCACGAACCGAAAGTGACTGTTCATTCATCAAAGTCTGTTCTAGAGGATCTAACCAATCAGAGACCAGTGAAATCCAGTTTAAAAGGTAATGCAAATATAAATATTCCAGAAAAATCTACGATTGCAAGAGGTGCTCCAGGAAAAGAAAGAGTTTGTTACAGAGGCTCTCCAAAGAATCCAATATCTAAAGTGAAACTGCTACCAGCTGCAAAACCTATAGACTTGTGAGATCAAATATGATGGTTAATTTGGCTTATTGTAACTTGGTTAACCTCTAGAAAATCTCAATTTGTATGATTAATGTTTTAGCTCTATTTGTCAGGTTTTTTCTTTTTTTTTGTTTTTATTTTTTATTTTTTTAACTGTATGAGTCAGACTTGCACAAATAACAGTTTATGTTGAGGTTTTCTTCATTTACTGAAACTTTTCCAAATATTAGTCAAGTCTACCCAACTGAAATTGACATCTAAAACAAAAATAACCTGGTTTTACAAACGTTTGTATTAGATCCCATACTTGATTATCTCAGCTTCTTAAAACATGCTGCATCTCCCAAAGTTTTTGCAGTATTTAGACTAAGTACAAAGTTGAAAAATTTCTGACATTTAAAACGAAGCTAACAGACATGAGAAAGAAAATGTCTTGATGCTTGTGTATTGGTAGTTAAATTTATCTACTGCTTAGTTTTAAGTGTATTGTAGCACTACTTTGGATCTTATACCATGTCTACTTCTTTTGAGACAGTGTATATTTATTTCTATTGGAGTAAACTGGGAGAATGTATTTTGATATATGTACACACTGGAGAATTATGGGAACACAGGCAAAATAAATGTGCAGGTCATTTAAGTGACAAATCTTAAAACTTCATCCAGCAATGTGTTCTGCAATAGGTACCAAGTATTTTCAGTTGTGAGCAGTGAAATGTTTTTATCTTAATATGGCAGGGTGGTTTTAACTTATTTTTAGAGCAGTAGAACAGTGTTAAGTAGATGTTGCAGAAGCAGGTTTAGATGCTGATAATGTTGCAAGAGATGAATGTAAGAAGCCATAGAGTTAAAAGTTGATTTGCACAAGCAAATGTTTACATCTTTTGGAATTAGAACTGTTTGTTTGTTATCGGTTGTAAAATTATTTAAGAGTAAACACTTGAAACCGTTCGTTAGCTTTCTGTATGTGTGAATTGCTTATTGGCAGAATGTAAGAGTTGAAAACACTGCATAATTTCGGTTTTAATAAAACCATTGGTGGTGTCCCTTTTCTGACCCTGTTCTTCTATAATGACTTGGAAATTTAGATTATGTTGTCATATGTGAACTGTGGACATCAAAAAGGAGTAAGTTGGAAAATACTTAGGTCAGAAGTGATTCTGTTCTGGCTCTTCATAATAGATACATGTTGGTAAGTCTCACAACTAGCAAAAGGATGGTACAACATAATTTAGCAGGAGTAGGCTTCTAAGCTTCTTGTGATATGTTAATGAAAGGAATAGTTCTGCTTGCTTGCTTTCTATTCTCTGCCTCCTTCCCCACATACCCCCAACTTCCTAGCCAGATCAGTTCAGCTCAGTGATCTGATAGAAACCTCCTGCCCCCATCAGCCTAGTTGAGCCTGCCTCCTTTAGTTACTAGATTATTGTCCAGATCTAATACCAGAGAAGCAGTCATGAGAGGGTCTTAACAAGGTTGTTTGATGTTGTGGTTAAGTATTGGAAGCTCCAGTTTAATGAAATAAGGAGCCAATGTTAATAGTCACCACCATCAAAAGAGGCAGCTGCTTCTTGCCATTGTCAGGAACATGCTCCTACCCTCTGCCTTTGACTGGCTGTAGGCACCAGAGCACCAGATTTTGTATTATATCACTGAGGTAAATAAGGAGGTCCCTATTGCTTAATCCTGTAAACTGCAGATGTAAGAGCAAAATGAGACAGTAATCTACATTTGAATGTGTAGTTTGTGGATTTGTTCTCGTTTATGGGGTATAAATCTCAACATTTCTGTAGTTATCCTAAAATGTGTCACATTCATGTCAGTAGCAGTGAAGATGTGACATAAAATAGCTTTTAGAAATTACTGTTTTGCCATGTGCTATTAAATGACAGACCCCATTTAGCAAGTTCCTTTTATAGTTGCCTTTTTATCAGCCTGTGCTATGGGTGGTACACACACGTGCTTAACCTGGAGTCCTCTGCTGCAAGCGCTTAGCGATGGCTGCCGTATTGTTACCTGGCATACCTGTGGTTAGGTAAAGCATCATTCTGCAAGTAGACCATTAATCATATTATTCTCGGGAGAGAAATCACAGCAGGAATACGAACAGTCACGGGGTAATGCCTTATTCCTGTAACCGTCAATCCATCAACACCCTTCAGTTTATTTTTAGACTATTGTGTTTAGCTGAAAGGGGAGATCGCCAAGATCCCACCGAGCTTTGCGTCATCTCCTGGCTGGACAGATCCATGCAGCAAGCACACGGCCGGGCAGGTGCACACCTGCTGCCGGCCTTCTGGCACCGGGGGAACGTGGACGTGGGGCAGCGGCTGCGCACGGAGGATGCGCGGCTGCGGAGTCGCCGCACACGCAACGTAGCGCCAGGAGGGGGAGGTGAGCGCGGCGCTCCCGGAGCCGCTGGGGGCGGCAGGGACCAGGGCGGAGCGGGGCTGCCGGGGGGGGGGGGCCTCTGCGGCGGCTGAGCCACCCTGGGTACTGGGGGAAGGGAAGGGAAGGATACAGAGCCCAGCTTTCCACGGACGCAGCTCGGAGGTGCAGGGTGTGGGGGCAACGGAGCGGCAGCCCTGCTCGGGTGCGTGTTAACGGGGGATGTTTTGTAGAAAGCAGGCTTTTCCCCATCTACATCAGAAAGAGGCGGCTCGACTCCCGTGCAGGGCTCTGCGGCACAGGCGGATAGGGCGCGATGGGCGATGTGGGGTGTGCTGTGCTGCGCTCTGGTGGAGCCGTGCACTGGCGTATTGGGAGTATTTCCAGCCTTGGCTCTTTCAGCCATTTTTGTTTCGAAGACGTTTTCAGGTGCGTTACGTGGGGTGGCGGGAGCAGTGGAGCATCTTTAAACGTCTGGCGTGCAGATATCGGGCAGCTGTGTGTTTTTTAAGGAAGGCAAGGGGGACCGCAAGGATTTTTGTTTATTCAAGAGATTGGAAGTGATGCATTTCAGTTATTCTCTGATGCGAGGGGAAACGGAGTTTTAAGAAACAAGCGTTCTGGTTAAAATTCAGCTTCTCAAAGAGCATAGTAAGTGGTGCTTGATATATATATATATATGTTTGTTTTTTTTTTCTTTGCCCAAATAAACTATACTGCGCAGCCATTTAGTGAAAGAACAAAAATGAAAGCTATTTGCTGCAGGCGGGGAAGATGATGCATATGAAGCAGACAGCCCCTTGTCTTAAGGTACCAATAAAACATAATCCAGATTGTTCAGCAGTTTCGAGTGATTAATTTTTCAGAGCTTGGAAAACACAGTTCCAGGATGAAGAGTTTTTTGCTTTTAGCTCAGACTTTATAAAACAGAATAAACGGGAGGGGACATGTGTGGTTAAATAAAACAGTGGACCCATTTTGTTTGCCGTGACTGTAAATGAATGCTGTGGGCAAGCACAAATCAGAAAATCTGTTTCTGCGGTTTGCTACTGTTTTTTTTGTTTTTTTTTTTTTTTAGAAGAGAAGAACCCATCCACCCTGCTAGCCCTGCTCCTCCTCCGGTTTTCCACTGGCTAGATTTTCAGCTGCCCCTAGAAGCTGTGGTAGTAGACTGTGCGGTAGTATACATTTGTGTATGGTAGTAAGAGCAGAGGTTATTTCCAGCATGCGTACTGGACTTTTTTCCCCACTATCATTTATAATCAAATTCCTTTCTTTTTCACAGGATAAAAGTGGCTGCCAGAATGACACCTGCCTTGCTTTGTAACATGGTATTTCTGCTGGCATTTGGATTGGCTTCAGCTTTTAGCCACAGCCCTAGGACTCCTGACAGGGTTTCTGAAGCAGATATCCAGAGGCTCCTCCATGGTGTTATGGAGCAACTGGGCATTGCCAGACCCCGGGTAGAATATCCAGCACACCAGGCTATGAATCTGGTTGGTCCACAGAGCATTGAAGGTAGGTAATTTCTGCTTTGAGTTATGACTAATTTAATAATATTTTTTTAGCAATAATTGCTGGTTTGCATATAGATGCAAAATATCCTGAGCTTAAAACCATGGACTTTTCCACCATTTTGTTGTGCGATCTTTATTTTAAAATCATCATCCATCTTTTACCTTCCATAATGTAATGATTTCGGCAGAAGAAGTGGTGTATTTTTTTAATGTACAGGCTTTGTAGAGAAATTCTACTGTTTTAGAAGCATTTGCTCTCTAGTACCTCAAAACAGTGGGTTTGCTAAACTTCTGCAGCAATGTGTATACTGGCTAATAATTCGGTGTGCAAGTCCTTAAAAAAATATACAAGATAATAGAAGGGAAAACTAAGGGGGAAGGGAAGAAAGAAGTTTAACAATATTTGGAATATGTCAAGGCAAAATAGAGTTTTCATCCCAAATACCATCATGGCAAAGTTATAAATCACTAGCTACTCTTCTGAGGTGCTGCCTTCATTGGAAATTTTTACCTGAAACTAGTGGAAAGTAAAATTGGGTGTGAAATTCCTGTTATGAGCAATTCTAAGCTGCTAGGAGGGTTGACTTCCAGCCATTTATTGGACTCTAGGTTGCAGTGACCAAAGCAGACAGTTTAAAACCTGGTTCATCCCTTGCCAGCATCTTCATAATCAACCCATTGCCTGTTCTGGAGTACATCTGTTTCTGATTTTGACCAGTTATTTAATCTCAGCGTTAAAAAACCTTTATCAATCAGAGTTTAATAATTTTAGTGTGTTCCTACAGAAAACTGGTTTAGTTAACAAAATGTTTTTCATCAGAAATTGCCCCAGCAGAGTTGACCTGGTAGTGTTGATAGTTGCAGGTAACAACAGCTTCAGCCAAGCCAGGACTCCAGAAGTACCACTGATTTTGAAAAGGCCAAGATTTCACCTGTATATGTACACTTGCAAACAAGGTGCTGCTGGGAAAAATTAATTCTTCTTGCTTTGGAATTTGGAGACATAATATAGACAAGTTTATACTAGCAGCCTGGTTATAATAAAATGTTTGCAAATCTAAGTGATTGTTATAATAAACTTTTCCAGCTGAGTAAGATCTTAATTTCATATATCAAAAAATACTATTGCTGTTAGTTCATAAGCATATTTCTTAATTTGCCCATTTTCCATCTCAGCTATTTATGTCTTTTCTGATGTTAATCATATTTTGACTTTAAAATGCTAAAAACCACATGATGGATAACTTGCAAAGAATGATACATGGTTATTCTGCCCCGGTCCCACAGAAAAATAAAAACATGCTTAGGGCTGCCTTGGCTGTAGTAAGTGAAGTCACAAACTTGCTCTGTACCAAAGACAACTGAAAGATAAACACTTTTCATGTGTTCTGTTTCCTAAGTGACCAGATTTCTTATTGATAGATAGAAAAAGTATGGCTCGTTAATTGAAAGAAGTTGCTGCATTTTCTTGTGTTGAAATCCAGAAATACATGTTTGTTTGTTTGTTTTTATTTTTCCTTCCCTTTGCATTTGTCAATTTACCTGTTACCTCAGGTCAAGCTGCTGAAATAGGAGTAGAGTCTAGAAAATGCCTGATAAAGAGTTTAATCCACCAAGAAATTCCAGTGTAGTTCAAGCTGTGTGTAACCCACGGGGAGGTCGGAAGTCCAGAGGAGTGTGAGTGGTGTGGCTTTCCCCTCTCTTGGTGGCAACGAGAGCTGCCTGGTGAGGACAGAGCCCGTAGGGAAGTGCAGCAGCAGCCTGAGCTCCTCTCCCTTGCCAGGGCTCTGTTAGCTGTCTGGAAGCAGTTCACGGGGTAAATATGTCACAAAAATGGGAGTTTGCTGGCTGATTCCCTGCACTTGGGTATCGCAGCCAGCAGATAGTGCATGGCATGTAAGCATGCAGAAGCCAAACAGATCCTTCGTGATGAGTGTCAAGTGAGGATGTTTTTAACACCCGAGGTGGTATCTTAGAGGCAGCTGGTTTTTGCTGTCCAGTTAATAGATTTTCTTTCTTCACATCCTGATTCCTAAAATAAACCCATGTTAACTACTTTAATTTCTCTGATATTAACTCTCCTTGTTAATTTGTCTTTTCAGAAAACTATTGTAGAGTAACTTAGCGCTACTTACAAAAAGAGCAGAAAAAATAGAAAAGCAAATGAATTTTTGTTGAGTAGCTGTGTTTCTGTAGTTACTCTTTAGTCGTTTACTCACTAAAATACTGTACAAGCACCACTGGGCTACATTCAGATTTTCTATAAACACGAAGGAGACTGTATCTGTGTCAATAGAGGACAAAGGAATAGCATAAGGAAATAGCTTCAACATTTCAAAAATATACAAGTTATTTTTTCTGCCTGTCAGGGGGTTTATTGAGTTAGAGAGCACATGTTTTTTGGTTTTCTTCCCTTGCATGCTTGTAAGTTTATTTCAATATTTAAAGGGTTTTCTTGGGAGGAGGGGCGAAGGAATATATGTGTAATGCGGCTTTCAGGACTATTAAGCCAAGCTTGGGAGAACAGTGAAACCTCACTTAAACGCATGGGGGCACCTTTAGCTCAGCTTGGGCAGTTCATAGCAATTCACTTGTTAATGGGAAATGTGGTCTTATTTTCTTCTTGCAAATATGATCTCCTTACATTCTCATTGTCTTCTGTACAATTCAGTACAACGGAAAACCTCTTGGGTGGCTTGTTTGTTTTGTTTTTATTTCTTAAAAATACTTCAAACAAGATGATGGTTGATGAAAGTGCTGGCATGACAGCCCAGAGCTGCAAAAGAGCTGTAATGCTGTCAGCCTCGGTGACAACATTAAATGATGTGTCTTAAATCCTAATTGTTTGTAGGAATGAGAAAATAATTATGCCTCTTTGGGATGCTTTTGACTTTCCTTCAGACCCTGCTTATAGCTGCTGAGAAAAGGCTAAGGTTTATTTGATTATTTTGAAAGGAAATACATACCCGATTATTGATTTAGAAGAAGTTAGTTACTGTTTGCCTGATTGAGACTGTTAAAGTCAAAAGAGGCTGAAACATTATGCTAATATTTCTTCTAACAACTGGTAGTTAATGACTTGTCAGCACAGACTGTACAAATAGCGCTTTGCATGAAAGTTTTACTCCCTGTAAAATTATGCAATTACTCATGTGTGTTAATGTCTATTTTGTTTCCATTTTCCTAATAAGAAAACTAAGTGCCGGGTTACTTTGCTGTCTGGCCTGTAACATACTTACAGAACTGCTACTTGTTTCCTGCAAGAACAGTAAAATCTTATTAGAAAGTTGCCAAAACTTTGCTTATGAATGTACCCAGTGAAAGTGGTACAGAAATTATGTTTGCACTCCATTGCTTTTGGGCTAGAGTGTGCTGTGCTTATGCCTGAATATATTTGGACTTCACTGGGTGACTAGAAGTAATAAGCATTGACACATGGGAGTATAATGTTTGGGGTCGGCAAGTATGGCAATGTGATGGCTGCATCCTCTTTGCTCTAGTTTACATCTGCTGTGCCAGCATCTAGGGTAGCAGTGATGGAGTCCCTGGGCTGGCAACTTGCCATAGGGCTGGGCAGACCTTCTGCTGCTTCAGGGCCACTTTGTCATGTCAATTTAGTGCAGAGAGACCACACGATCATTTGGGGTTTGGATTACTGCACCTGTTTTATAGAGAAAGTCTTGTTGTACTTAGGATGTAAATTAACATGCACATTGGGACTGCTTTTGCTGAAGCACGTGTGATCTCAGTCTAATGCTGCATTACAGGCCTGACATTTAACAAACAAAATCATACCACAATATCACTCTACTAGTCTCTGCTTTCAGTTGTGGGGGGTGTGTTTGGTTGGTTGGTTGGTTTTTGGGTTTGTTTTTTTTTTTATTTTGCAAATTACTGAAATAGCCCAGAAAATATTATTTCAGAATTTAATAGAACATCTCAAATTTGTAACATAAAATGAGAATGGTAAAGCCTCACTTTTCATCCATTAATACGGTAGACATCTGGATTTGTATGGGTCTGACTAAGAATCCCTATTGTTTTCTTTGTATTTTATTCCCCAAACTGTAATGTCAAATGTAACCAGAATTTGAGTACCAGGCAGTGGTACATGTCATAAGAGAGGTGACTTCAAATGATAACCCCTGAATTTAAAAATTGGTGACACTGCCAAACAACTGTGGTGGTTTACAGTGAGTTTTCTTTATCTAAGTGGTATGGCACAGCTCTGTGAAGAAAATATGAAATGATTATACCTGTAACTCCAAAACCAGGAAAATAATGACTCAGTATGCCTTTGTTTGTTCTTTAACAAAGAGAAGCGATTGAAAATTTGGCCCGTAATGCTTCCATTTGAATGTATAAACCATGACAAGCAGTGAATAATAAGAAAGCAAAATGGGTGTTTGTATTGCCATGTGGAGGTGGTATCATGTTACCTCGAGGTGTTTGACAGCTTTCCCTCTTGAGGAGCAAGGGCAAGATCCAGTGGAGGCAGTGGTCGTTACCGCTGTGATCTCTGCCACTTCTCAGTTTCAGGAACTGCCTTCCTCAATGCCCTGGTGCTTCAGCAGGTGCGTAGACACTGCTCTTGTCTCCTTGGTGTGTCTGGGGAGAGGCAGGGAAATTTCTCCAAACTAATGTGCTTGTCAGAGAAGTCAGTCAATGGCACGTGCAAGAAGAAAAGTGCATTAAACCCTCTTTCTGTCCAGATCTGTTATTTGCATGTGGTTCTGACTTGGGGGACTTATCTTTAAGGATGCCATCAAAGGTGAAAGCCATTTGAGATGGAACCCTTACAGGGAAGAAAGGTGGCCGATCTGTAGGGATTTAGAATTAAGTAGGTTATCTTACTTACAGGTAGCTAACCAATTAGAATGGGATTTGTAGCATTTTTAATTTATTTTTTACATGTTACTAGAGGGAAATAATTCAGTAAGAGAGGTAAGAAACCTGAGGAGAGGAGGGAATATGATAGCTTCTGTATTGTCTCATGCTTTC